ACTACGGATGGGTGCTTTCATCATACACCTCGCCACAAAACACACACACACACACACACACACACACACACACACACACACACACACACACACACACACAAAAAGGCATACAGTTAAGTTATACAGTTTATGTGTCCTAATTTCACCCGATTGCACATGACATCATTTTTGAGGTTAAACATAATCTGTAGCTGACAGCATGGTGGTTCTGCTTTCTGCTTTCATTTCTGTTGAAAGTGTGAGCGTTTGGCCATTAGAGAGACCGTTCAAGTAAAACCTCAGTGTGTTCTGACAACACATTCTGTTCGCTTCAGCTGCCACATGGTGGGTTAATGATTCCATTGAGTCTTTCTTAAAACGTTTTCATCAATGTCTTCTGGCTGTGACCATGAGAGTCAGATATCCGGTTTCCTGCGGTACACGTCCCAGCCTAATGTCCTTGTTTTTCTGTTCAGTGTCTGGTCCCAGAAGCTGTTCGGTGCTGGCCGTTTGTAACTGACTTTTATCTTGGTTTTACACCAATCAGCACTGTTTGTCACTGCAGCAGAATTGAGACAGCTTCTTAAATTCCAGGTATCTTTATTTCACCAGCAGACTGAATGGATCAGAAGGAAAATTACCCAAAAGAAAGTAAGAAGCAGTTTGTGTGTCATATCTGATGGTTCTTTTTTAAAGTGACCTCAGTCTCGATGGTTGTGTTGCATTCAGGGGCGGAGCCAGAGAGGTGACCAGGGTGGCACTTGCACCTCTGGCACCTGATTAGTCACCCCAAGTGCCATCCCAAAATGATTGACAAGCTGAGATTAAGTTTGCATGTGGCATTTTAAAGCTGGCATACAATGAGAAACATTTTTTGCTAGCTGGAATCAGATTATGTAAACGATTGCATCTTTGCTACTTCTATGCTCATTTCTAGCTGTGTGCTTAAACAAGTCTAAATTATAGTTCTTGGTGAATTAGCATTAGCAGTTTAGTTATACTAACAATCAGCATGKTTTTTTTTACCATTCTTAGTAGAGCTGAGTGGTATGACACTTTTTTATATTACCGTATTTTCAACAATTAGACCAGTATCACGGTATTTAATGGTATTTTTCTGTTCATCACAGTTCAGCTGATTATAAAATGTACAAACTTTGCTTAGTGATTAGCAAACCACAGTCAGCTGAAGTTACACTATCAGTAACTCACAAACTATTTCTTTACTGTTTTCTTTACCTCTGTCTGTCACTCCCTCCTCTACATGTCTTTTCTTCACTGTCTGGTTGTAGTCATGCATTTTGGTCCAGTCGTGAAGGAGGAGGGTTGAGAAAAAATCATAATCGGGTCTATTGTTTGATTAACGGGAAGACTCAGCCTCGTCAACTAATCCCCGATACAAAAACATTTCCCCTGGAAGCCCCCCTCCCAGGCTTTTCACAATAGAAGCACATTAACATCTCCATACATCGAGCAAATTTAGCGCATTAAATCTATCTGGGCTCGTCACTGAAGAGGTGTTCACTACATTCAGTGATGGCGAAAACGGGAGGTTGTTTTAAACATCAGTCAGTATGAGCAGCGGAATCGACACCCACAGTCCGTTATGAAGAAGGCTGCTTCAACATTAGCATGCTAATGTGCATAGCAGTGCTGCAAGGAAAAGTGTCCCCCGTGAAACGCTTCACTGGCAGAACGTGTTCAGGCTATTTAAACCGTTATGTGTGGTATTCAGAAAATTCATATCATAACAAAACTAAAAAGCAGTTTTCGGTGTGAAACAGTATATCGCCCAGCTCTAATTCTTACCAACAATCCCACACAAAATTTCTGCTCAGTGTTTCGTAAAACAGGTAAATAGAGCCGGCTGAGGTTTGCTGTGGAGACCAACTTAAATTTTCAAATCCAGAGTAGTTTTTATTTATTTGTATGTGCCAACCTAAAAAACACCTTGGCCACCCCAAGCAAAAATGTCTAGCTCCGCCCCTGGTTGCATTTCATCTAACTTTTACATAATTGAAGTAGACTGTGTGGATTAATCTATTGATTATTATTGACACCAGCCTGCAGACGTGATGAAGCCACCATCATCTCCAACGAGGCGTCAGAAGATACAAACTCTGACTTTATTCTGAAATGACAACATCAGGAGTGTGTCCATGCAGACCAGACTAACTGGAGTAATTATGTGAAAGAATAAACACAGCTTCTGTATAATTAGAAGTAATATAAAAAGCACTCTTGGTGAATTTATTGAAGTAATCATTTTAGAGGTTAAATGTTAAATGTATTTCCTTCCAGTAATCTGCTAATTGTTGGTTTTAAAGTAATTACAAGATAAGAAATTCTGTTTGTTTGAAAAGGGATGTCGGCATTTTTTTCATCAGTTTATTTTTATAGTAAAAAAATCTACGAGCAACATCATTAAAAATTTAATATAAACACGGGCAGGAAAATCCTGGCTGCTCTCCTGCCTTGCGGAGGAATAACTGAAGGACGTTTAGTGGATTTTCTTATGAATCTTGAATGAATCGGAGAGCAGCAGGTGCTGATGCAACAGGTTATAAACCTGTTTCCCCGTCAGAGCGGTTGCTCTAAAACGAGGTGATCCAACGTGTGCCTGCTGCTTTAATTGCTTTGAGTTGCAGAAATGCAGCTTTTCTGTGGGAGAAAAGAGTCGCAGAGTGACAGGTTCATGCTGTGATTAAATGGATCATCCTTAACGATGCGATTGGAAATGCAAATGAGGGCAAAAAGCATMAGTAGAAAAGGTTTGACCTCCTTTCTATCGCCTGAGAACCATGATTGTCTTCATGATTCTATAGAATATATTGGATTTTGTTTTGTAGTGGCAGCTTTTAGTGTTGGGGAAGTAAATTTCCCAAAATGCAGTGAGCGAGGACCCTTCCTTCCCTGTTAGCCTTGGTGAATTATTCATAGCGTGGCTCTAAGAGCTCGCGGTTTAACATGGAGTCACTGACTGCTGTGGAGCTGGCATGGCAACCACTCAAACGAGGCTCAGAGCTGTCAGTCTGTGGCTTCATTTATTCTGAGAACTGAGTGCAGTACAGAGGGGGGTTATACGTCAGGAGAGAAGCTAATCTGAACTCATCAAAATGTTCACAAATCAGGAGTTTTAATAGAAATGGAGCATTGCCATGAAATAAGCTACAATAGGTATCTTGTTATCATGTCTGTTTATATTGTCTTTGCAGATTTTACTTTTTTTTAAGAAGCTGGGCATAAAAGACAAAACATCACTGATTACAGACAACTACAAGATGATTAATTCCACCTAAATGTCTTCCAACTTACTCACTTATTTGTTCACAAACACAAACTAAGCTGTCCTAATGTAGTTCAATCAACTAACTCAAACTTTATCATGGCTTATTTTGTTTACCGTGGCTGCATACCCTCATTTCAAAACTTCACATCAATAAATCTGAAAAACTATTACACTGCAAATTGCACCATTTAATATACCTCATATAACCATTTTTATGTTTCATTACAAGATTTTAATGAATAGATTTAAGTAAACTAAATATTAA